TTTTCAGCTCAGTGAACCATCAGACATTGAGTCAGAATATGAGACATGAAACTTTAATAAACAAAACAATGTGACAAAAGGACTTGAAGCATAAAAAACTTTCATCAAACAACTCGAACATTTCACGTCTTCATTTATAAAAAGTCCAAACTGAGGTCGTCGTCACGGACGCTGCGTTAAACTTTTCAGTCCGTGTTCCGGATTCTCAGCTGATCCAGCGTGAAACAGACTCCGGTGACGCTCGTCCACACGACTGACGCTGAGGCTGAAATCACTTCCTGTTCACGACTCGTCCCTGAACGTCTCACCACGCAGCAGACATCACATCAGGCACGAGTGAACGAACGAGTGATTTCAGAGGCTGCGTCAGTCGTGCTGTCACTCTCCTCCTGTCGCCGTGGAGATGGCAGCCAGGATCGGTGAGAGTGGAGGGAGGGGGGGGGTCGAAGAGGGGGTCAAAGGTCGAGGGGTCAGTGGACGACTGAGTTGAGCGGCTCAGCTCTGATGTTTCCTAAATCCAGAGTGGAGTCGGTCTCTTCATCGATCTCTCCGATCACAGCGCTGAAACAAAACAGAACAGATCGTCAACAAACTGAACTGAGTAAAAACAGTATCTTTTTATTTCCATCTCTTCTTGTTCAGTTTAATCTCCAGTGAAACATATTTATTTCACATTCACAACATGAATCTGGACGTGAACTGGGTGATGGTGTTTGCAGAAGCAAGTGACTCTGAATGTGCATCACGCCCCCTGGTGGCAGGGTCGACAGAAACCAGCCTCTCAACATGAGAAGTGATGATGACTTTTCTCATGTCTGCTACAGCTGCACATCTACTTCATTCATCAACACCAGAAATGTCAGGACAATCATGACGTCTTCGTCTTCTGCGTGTTCGGCTCCTCTTCTTCATCCTGACAGATTTGTGTTCGTCCAGTTTCACGTCCGTCACGTGTTAGAAACCTCAGAGACACGTCCACTCGCTCACTGGGAAGGTTCCAGATGTTTTCCTGCTGTTTTCTCACTCTGACATTTTACTGACTTTTAGAGACACTGACTCAGACATTTGTTCTCACATACAGAACCTGCAGAACATGTGAGGGACACGTCAGGAACATGTGAGGAACACGTCAGGAACACGTCTGTGGTGCGGTTTAGGTCTGAAATCACCATTTCTTCTTAAAGACGCAGTTAAACTCACACGTTGTCTCCTCGGACGATGTAAAGTCCCAGAACCACCTGCTCCACACCCTGACTGGAGCTGAACACCCGCTCGTGACTCTCATCCAGGATCAGGTTGATGGTCTGATCGAACCCCTTCAGGGTGCCCTGCACACACACACACACACACACACACACACACACACACACACACACACATTAATCATCTGCAGATCAATAATAATCTCGATGATTAATCAGTTAAATCAACAGTTTTAATCAAACGTGTGAAACTCACCACAATCATTCTCCCGTCTGAGGTGACGATGGCCACGGTGCCTGAACCTCAGTTAAAGAAACCACATTTCTGGACACAACATTAAATTAAAGCTTAAAACAAACACACGAGCGACAAACTTCGATTTCGAGACTTCTATGAATCTTAGCTTCCATCCGGCGCCGCTGAAAGATCGAGTGAAAACACCGTCAGTTATTAAATACCTAAACATACAGCTAGCTTAGCTCCTGAGCTAACGAGCAGTCTTCCATTCATTCAGACGGGCGGTTAGCATGTTAGCAGCTAGCGGCGGCAGGATACGGTTGATGTAGCTCTCCAGGGCGGTGGACATGTTTCCTGCGGGGCTCGGTGTCTGTGTTTGCGGTGAAAATGAGGCCGAGCGTTTCCACCGGGTCCGTGAGGGTCGAAATCAAAAGAGTCCGACCGAGACGAGGAGCTAACAGCGGAGCTAACGGAGCAGCTAACACAGGCAACTTATGCTAACAGCTACAACAGCGAGCAGACAGAAGCAATCACACACAGAGGCGGAAGCAGAGCGTCGAACCACAGATTCACTTTCAAACGTTTCTGTTCTCAGATAAATATAATTTATAAACCAT